GCGTTAAAAATATTTATGTGAACTGTAAATATATTTATATACACCAACATATAAAAAGCAGTCAAACAGACAACGCCATCTCCTTCTGAAAAGGTTCTAAGATATTTATAAAATATTCTACATACTTTTGTTACTCAGTAGAGTTGAAAAACAATGTAAATTCTAAAGTACAAAGATTTCTTAAAATGGCAGTACAAAATTTTATCACAATTATTTAATAAGTCAGCATATTTTAGATAGAGGTTTCTAAATATTTTCAATCCTTTACAGTAGGTATTAAACTTAAGTACTTATATCCGAAATGGCAGAGGTGTTTTAATCTCATTAAAATTCCATTACCAACTATTATGATTATATAGAACACAAAGAAACGACTGTGGAGCAGTCTTAAATACTTAGATATCAGTTATTCCCTCATAATTACACTAATCTTCTTTCCGAACAAAAACAATGTTTTGCGGCTTGAATATGTTAATATACGCGAAGCAAACATTGGACAGCTATAATATAGACTATAGTAATGGAAAAAAATATTTACATCTCAAACATTTTAAATATTTGCCATTTGACATCGATAGGCCAACTCAATAGTGATTTTCATACAATAATATTAGCTAATAGTTAAATAATTTGTCTCTAGGATGTTTGTATGAGTTACGACAGATACCGATATCTGAAAATGTATGTAAGTATCTTAAATTTTTAAAAAGATTGTGTATATGAAATGAGTATCATAAATTTCGTCCAATTACTATTTTTAAATATTAATTAAAACTAATTGTTTACTAACCCCTCGAATAACATGTTAAGGAAAAAGCGTACCATACACAATCGTAATTAATTACACATAATATTCCATTATACGTCTAACTGTAAATAAAGATATCAATAGTAAACAGAGACAACGCGTGCGCATTTCGCGGAAGATTTGCATTTTGGACCACGAAACTTAATACAAAATGGAAAAATGGAATGTAGGTTTAAGTAACAATATTGTGTTACTTAAACCTACATTCCATTTTTAGTTATGACTTGACTGTAGCTGTTAGCCCTAATGGATTTGACAGCGTCAACTGGAGGGAAAATTGTGATTTTAAAGTCTCATTGTATCGAAAATCTAACTTTGTCTTGAATATTTGGTACTGTTATTGTTACTGCGTACTATTGTTGTGTGCTATTGTTATTGTTTGTTTGTGTATGTACCATAAAAAATATAATTATATGACACACTAGAGACGTCGATCGTTCAGCGTCATTACTTCACTATTACTAGGTAGGGGGAGGGGGGGCACATTGATTCACGGGGCACATTGGTACAGTATCTATATCTCAAAACCGATAAACGCTACACAGTCCGGCAAATCACTAGAATGCTCAAGGGTATTCACAAGAATAACAGTTGTGACACCGTTCGCCCCCAGTTTGCCATTGGACCTCAACGGTCACTAACGTGTTAAAAGTGGCGTACGCCGCTGCCTACAAAAAAAAACATGAAATGTAATTGTGTCTCAGGAGGATTCTTTTAGTTGTTTTTGTTATAATTTGTTACTACAGGTAAGTAAATATAGTTATTATTGTATTTTAAAATGTTTTTGATTGCATTATTATTATATATTAGATAAAATTAATTGTTTGTGGAAAAAGTCCGTTGGGGCACTTTGATACGGTAATGTGCGGGGTACAATGATACGTATCAATCTGCCCCTCTAGTGTATTAAAGTGTAGTTTATTTTCTTTTTTTCAGAAAATGGTGCGCACGTACAAACCCAAAACTGATAGAAAAAATATTAATGAAGAAAACATTGAAGACGCAATACGTGAAGTATTGTCAAAGACTTTATCTATACGCAAAGCAGCCGACAAATATAGCATCAAAACTGCGACCCTACAACATCGCATAGAAAAAGCCAGAAAATCATTTAAAGCTACCAGAATATTATCTACAAATGAAGCATCCTATTCATTACAAGCAGAATCTTCTTTATCACAAGAAGAATCTTCTTTATCACAAGCAGGTCCATCTTCACCACAAATAGCACCATCTATGGAGATGGCAAAAATAGCGTCATCTTCAGCACACACTACTACTGCAGCTTTATCATCACACACTGCTACAGCTACTTCATCAAACATCTATGGTTCCAAGTATACCGTTGCACAAGTTTTTTCAATCGAACAAGAAAAGGCATTGACTCAATATTTATTGAATTGCAGTAAAATGCACTACGGCATTACATTGAGACAGCTTTTGACTTTGGCATACGAGTTCACAGAATCCTCAGGGTGTAATTATCCAAAACCCTGGAAAAAAACAAATGCGCTGGAAAAGATTGGGCAGCTGGCTTCAGGAAGAGAAACCCAGAATTGAGTCTACGAAAACCAGAAAACACAAGCGCAGCAAGAAGCTTTGCTTTTAATAAAGCTGCTGTAGCTCACTTTCATGATAATTATGAACACATAATGAGACAGTACAATTTTACACCCGATCGAATAATAAACTTAGTCTCAATCAATAAAATGGTTTTATTTCTTAATATTAAGTAATAATACAGTTTATATTGGGTTTTTAGTCAGTTTAAATTTGCATTTCATATGGATCTAAAATACGTATCAAACTGCCCCACCCCATGTATCAAAGTGCCCCACTGGTGGGGCAGAATGATACAAATATTTTATTTTCTTAAAATCACATTATCTCTATACGTCGCCAATTTTTGCGGTTTTTGCGTAGCCAAAATGTAAGCTGACATATCAGCCAATGCACACATCAAAACAAATATTTAAATATAATGCTTTACGGTCCTCAGAAAAGAGATTTAATTTTTGTGTATCAAAGTGCCCCCCCTCCCCCTACTATTATTTTCTATGTATTTTATAGTGTAACGAGAAATTTCTCTTGGTAAAGGATGTTTTATGACTTATAATACTTCCATAGTTTATACATGTATATTCTTTTTGAATAAACATATTACCACGTATTGCATGATTATTATTATTTTGTGTTTAATTCAATTCTTACAGAAGAACGCATTTGTGTTCGATTTATATAAAAAAGGAAGGTTAAGTAAAAATTTACTATCTTAACATGTTCCATTTTTAAAGAGGCAGGTATTAACTTCGCAAGAAAAACCTTGTTGTATAATTTATTACTCATGTTACAGATATTTGATCTTGTTTTTTTCTGGTTTATAAGTCAGCGGAACAAAAAACAACATCACCTACTTAACAATGGCGGGCGCTAGACCAATGAATTGTCGTTCAAAGAGCTAATATTTTAAATGTAAAACCTCGAAAGATGAAGTACGTATAATATCAATTTTATGATCCAACGCGTTACTATCCAAATATACCTACAAGTCTGACACACTATACATTAATGCCATGAAGTGACACTGATAATATAATCTTCTTTACACAAGATGGGAGTATAAGACGTGCTACATATCAAGCCTGGCGACGCTTAATAACGTTATCAGTTCAACGGATTTAATGAGAACATTTTCTCGGTCATATATTTCAGCATAACAATTGAGTTCAAAACCGTGACCGACCGATTTCCCGGACTTTTACAATTGTCATTGTCTTGCTTTCCAACTGACGCAAGTCTTCGTTTTAACTCAATTTTCAATTTCAATAACCTTTGTTTTAAAATATTTTCTCGTTTATAATCTGTATCCTTTAAATATAAGTAAATAAAACTGTTAGATTCAAAACTAATAACACAAATGCTTCTTAAAATGCTGGTACACAATTTTATAACTACTGTTAGGTAAATAAATCAACATATTTTTGATAGAGGAGTCGAAATATTTTCAATCCCTTACACTTACGTCCGATATGGCAGCGGTGTTTTAATCCAATTAAATTAATAAAAACGTAATAAAGAAAAACCAAAATTGTCAAAAATAATTTTTATTATCTTAAATCTTATCAAGGAGAAATAATCCTAAGCACAGCCCAAAATGTCGCAGAGGGGAATTCTCAAATCATAGCCAAGTAAAGTACCGTGACGACACCATGGCAACGCCATCGATCACACTAAACAGCTAGCCCACAAGTATCAAGGGGTTCCGCTGTTAATATTCAATGGGGCGTCACTCATACGCCATAATACCATGAGGTCACTTCATATAACCCAGTGTCAAACTGTCAACGGACACATTTTATCGGCCACTTATGAGTTTCACCCATATACTGCTCATTTTAAACCCACAACCCAATAGCTCAAACTTATTTATTTTTTGGAACGAAATAATTCAATGTACTAGTAACATTTCAAGTTATTTGTTTTTTTTACATGACAATATAGATTCAGTACAAAAGTACATTTACAGTCAAATACAATTCTTAAATCATATTATTAGACAACTGTGCTGACAATCATAAACTAATTAAACATACATACAACTACTATTTACATTAAATATAAAAACTCAACACAATGACAGCCAAGTTCTACAACTGTATATAGATGAAACAGGAATTGTTTACAAGTTACTTCTTATAACAAAAACAATTTCATCCATATATTAACAACTCTTAGAACAAACTTTGATAAACATTAGTTCTTTAAACAAAACTTTAATTCTAATATTATGACTATAATATTACAAAATAAAATGTTGTTATTCTTGACAACAGCAAAAGTTATTACATGTAAATAGACTTTATGATATCAATTATTTAACATAGGTTATAGATAGAACAAGTAACAGAATATATATACATATATTTTCAGAATATATATATATATATGTATATGTATCTTTACATTTATTTTGTATATAGTCTAAAACTGTTAAGCATTTTGAAATCATATTCTCATTTCTCATTTATGAATCTTTTTTTTTTCATGTTTTCTTTTACTTTTTGCTGTTTGTTTTTTTTTTTATTTTATTTTTTTTTTGTTCAAAGTCTGTCCATATCTGCTGAGTCTTCTTTCTTCTAGTAATAAACTTAAAGTATATTATTTACAACCAGGCTCTGCCTTAACCAATTTTTCACTTAACAAATGCGTCGGGTGGAATCTTGCCTTCTGACTGTAGTTGATTGAATATGAACAAAGCTCTTTGATAGTCCCAACCAGTTTCTTGTAGACAGCTAAAAAACAATACATTTAATTACATGACCAACATAAAACTATGTACTTTTATGATTCCATTACTTGAATTAATACAAATTCTGTAAAGTAATATCACTAATATCTGTGAATATACTTATAAATATATGCAATAATCCTACTAATATTATTATTGCGAAAGTTTGTGAGTGTGTGTGTATGCTTGTTACTTCTTCACGCTCAAACGGCTGAACCGATTCTGATAAAATTTTGTATACAGGAAGCTGACGTCCAGGAATAACACATAGGCTACTTTACATCCCGGAAATCCGCGGGTAACACCGCGGGCCGCAGCTAGTAAAATATATAAAGTTCTTATTTAATTGGACCCTTACTTCACACTCCAATGTTCATTCATGCCGGTTTGTTGGCAGAGCATGTTAAGCATCATTCGTTGATTCTCATCATATGATGGGGTTGCAGCTATTGTTGCCACAGGAGCCGCTGAGGTTGAACTTGAAGGAGCCACTTCACCACCAGAAAATGACTTGTCTTCCTATAATTTATATTATTTGTTTTATTTCAATCTATTTCCTTATTTATATTATTAGATAGGAAAAAATATAATAACATTTATTTAATGTAGGTTTAAATTGTTTCAAACTTGCTATCTCTTATCATAATTTTTTGAGATTTAAGACTTTCGCGAGTATTCTTTTAAATGAAACTAATATTTATCGGATTTCTAAGCGCACTTTATTTTGGTAAAAAAACTACATACTCACGACGACTTATTTTTTACAAAAATAAATCATGCGCAGGGTAGCCGAAAAATATTAGTTTCATTTAAATCATACTTTTTTCACAAAGAAACAAAACACATTAGTACATAATGATTAATAATGTTTTCTTTATAGTTATATACTTCAGAGAAGATATTGGTGATTGTTTAATGTTTTCATAGAATAAAACACCAAAAGTGATTGAAATAAATTCAAACCAAAAAAGGTATATATAAATAACAATGTCAAATCTAACCTGCTCCTTAGTAGTGTTACTGACAAACAACATGTCATTAGTAATTGAAAATCCACCTGTAGCATTTGGTATAATAACAAAAGTCCTATGGAAAGACCGAGTTGGATTGCCGTATGATGTCGTCTCTCTATATACACCATTCATTGTTAGCACTATCATGGCTGGCTGTGGAAATAAATATATTGTTATTAAAAAAAAATACATGATTTTAATTTCACATATAAATCTAGATAATTCAAGAATGATTACAAGTCTGAGCTTTTTGTATGGATTAAGTGGGGGCAATAAATTTGTCAACTCTATAATTTCACTAGTTTCTTAATATGTGTATTGATAAATGATGAAATTCATGTGTATAATAAATTGATAGGCCAAATGTAATGTTTGACGATTGTTGTTCTCTTACAAAATAATGTTTGCATTTAATATACAAAGAAAATTAAAGTCATTGTAGAACAATAATATTAGGAATTTATGATCTTTGTACATGGGTTCATTATTTTGCTTCAGGTAAAATTTTACATTTCTATGCAATTTGCCTGAGCAGAGATACCCAAATGCATTCCTGAGAAATGTCTATTGTATAAAAAAAGACTTAGGATAAGGCAGGTAGATACTGCCACAAAAAAACAATTAGAGACAATACACTAAATTTCTTAGCAACAAAGGTTTATCTTAAATAAACGAAATAGATACATCTGCAACAAAATATGCTGTGTCTATATTTTTTTAAACAAAATTTGTTTCTTCATGAATCATGAAGTTATGATAATAAAGTTATAATCTACTAGCTGACCCGGTAAACCGACAAGGGTGGACAACCCTTATCACTAAGGGGTATGAAAAATAAATGTTGGCCAATGCTCAGACCTACTCAATATGCTCACTAGATTTCATGAGAAGAAGAGAGTACGGTAATGAACATTGTGACACGAGAAATTTATATATAAAATTAAATTCTTACAGTAAAAACAAGTAGATCGACAGCAAATCCCATCAGGTCATGATTGGTCTTTGGTAAGTCTGACAGAAACGAAACAACTTGTAATCTTCCTGTACGGAGATAACGTCTTCGAGATTCCCTGTCTGTTATCCTCATAATATTACGACTGTTAGATATGTAAGCGTTTAATCTGAAATTATAATATAAATTAAGTAAATGAAAAAATATCTCATATAATTGAGTTACGATGTAAATAAAGAAATTCATAATTACTTATTTCCTGGTACATTTCGTCCTTCATTGCTTAAATAGCCGGCCGCCATTGACATAGTAGCTGTTTCGTGGTACGCCTCTAATAATGGTTGACGGGAATCAGAATCGTAGATAGCGAAATACTGTGTAAGGAATTCTCTAACCAGATTCTGGCCGGCTGGGTCTATAAGGAAGGATTGTTGACGGGAAGGGAGGGATAAATCTTCAGAAACGTCGAAGCCAATCGCTGGTGGTAGGTCTACGCCATCCTAGAAATTATATTTACTTATAAATATCATCATTAAATTCTAAGTACAATTGGTTATTAATTAAGTTATATGTACTTACCAATCTCATGAGTTTGGGGAATTTTTTCCGCACGTCGCTGTACACACAAATATGGTAATAGATGTAAGGCTGTAACTCATACATATTATGGAAATATAACACTGGAAACTATGGCTAAATATATATCCAAACAAATAAATTATTGTAAATAACTTGACCATGTTTAATTATTAAATTGACATAAATATGGCCATGTTATTATGTAATTGGAATTTTCATGTTAATTACATTTATTTTCATTTAAACACTAAATGTACAACCAGAGAACAATCTTGACATTTGATTACACATTTCTTATGATGAAATTATGTTAACAAAAATTGTTACTTGATATAAACACATTACACAACAATATTTCATGAGAAAATGTTTAGTATATTTTTGTTAACATGATTTTTTTGTGTGAGACAATAACATAAAGGAGTTTCTTTTAATTAACTAATCCTCATTACTTGGTTTTTGTTTTGTAGATTATGTATTTGTTACTTTTAATATACCAAAGGAATTTAAGCAGGATTTATAATATAATACCACAAAATACAAAATGTACTTCGAAATTATAGTGTTCAAACATGATCGAAAGTTAACAACTAAAGTTTAAAAGATTTCTTACACACTTTAATTAGTAAAATTATTACAATAGTAAAAAATCTTTTAAATATATCTTAGATACATTTGTATAAGTGATGGAACCTGTCATGTTTAAATACATACATCCACAATATAATGAGGTTAGGTTGGGTTAATTTTACATGTTTTTAAGTTTGTATGAACTATTTTTAAAAACATATACAATATAATTTTATGTTATAACATTTAGTATAATATACATGGCCATATGTAATCTTAATAGATTCATCTAATACCCCCCCTTTAACAAAATACCTATACCCCTCAGCAATTCCATGCATCATGTACAAGATCTTCATATTTAAATGTTATCACACTTTTCTGACCTCATTGGAATGTTTCAAAACTCTAGTTGTAGCCTATAAAGGTACATCAATAGATTCATAAATGACATGTTTAATCAAAACATATTACCTGACATAAATATCATGATCGTTGAACCTAGAAACTAGTGGATTTCCTTTAAGATAAAGTTCCACCAGTGGCAAAGGTTTCAAAGGTTCCAGGGCAGCCAGAGTTGTAATCTGTGAATAAATATCATCAATTTCATATTCCACAGTAATTTAAAATCATGTTAATGCTCTATTTTCTTTACCCTGTTGTCTCCCAAATAAAGAATCTTCAAATTCTTCAACTTTGTACAAAGGACCTTCATGTGTTCCATTCCATGGATTTTGTTTTCATTTAAGTTGAGCGCTTCCAAATCGGGTATATTGTCTGCCATTATATCAATAGCGACTGACATTATAATCGGTCGGAATAGTGCACAGAATATATCTGTTAAATCTGTAAAGAATTTTCAAAAATTCATTATAATTTAACGCTAACCTTGTAAGTGTTACTGTATTAAATTATATTTACCAGGGTCTGCATGAAATTTGGTTAAGTCCAAAGCTTTAGTAGCTGCATTGTATCTTTTTGCCATAACAAGCTTCATTTTCTCTTTCATATTTGCATCAATATTTACATTTGGTACACTGTTCCTTACAAGTATAAGAAGTTTAAAGCCATCGGACATAGTAATTTTTCTATCAGCTTCATATAATTTTTCAGCTATTTTAACATCATCGACATAAAAAATAGCTGTATTCCCATTGATTTTGTAATAATGTGGTATGAAAACTTCAGGCGATATAAAGCCCAGCAGTGATCGTAAAATAACGTCTTTATCATGTTTAGCTCCGTATGGTATTACAATTTGATACCACGGCAAAGGACCAGCTATGAATTTTCTTTTAGCAGTACGAGGTGCTGGCGAGCTTAGCCGACCCCTTTGATATCTGACGCCCTTCCTTATTGGGTAACCTGCAGATGCGCCCATGTCAATATCACCATCGAGCAGTAGTTGAGACGCATCGTTCCATTGTCGAAATTTGCTTTTCCCTTTATATGAACCAGATTTGAAGCTGACACGCCTTGTATTGTTGCTGTGAGCTCGATCGTCATGTTCTATATGAAAAAAGGAGATACTAATAACAAGGAACTATTGATATCGCGCCACTCTTAAATGACCTTTAGAATTAACATAAACACAAAATAGTAATTCACTCAAAAGCAAAGAGAAACTAGAAGCAATAATGAAAGACAACTCACCAAAATGTTCATTGGGTTTCCAATTGCGAATTCTTCCTCCACGTTTCGGCATGTTGTTATAACAAAAGCCACACGTTGTTAAAATAAAAGAGTGAAAATAAATAACGATGGCAGTAATAATTTTTAACAATAATAATCACTTTCTATCAAGTTATTTACAATGAAAAATTTGAAATATATGTTTATAAAACAGAGTGGTTGTACGTAAACGTTCAGATTGTATTATTTTTCTATAATACAGAATTAGCTTTCTGTAATGGCGATAATGGCGTCACTTTAGAAAAGCTAAGTATTGCCAGTAGTTAAATTCCAAAAATACTATAAATCGTTATACTAATTTCTCCACAATTTAATATTTTTGTGTATAATAAATAATTTAAATTATTAATAAATGATATTTATGATTATTTCATACTTTTTGCACTAATTATTAGAATGTTATAAGAAGTATGTTATATTACTCATAACAGTGAACTTTTGTATATATCACTTTAAATATTTCAATATCAAATCCAACCAAAATTATGAGTAATTGTTAAGATAACAACAATAAATTGACTGAGTAGAGCATTTTCTAAATTTCTTTGCTATCATTACAAACAATAATGGAACAAGAACAAATGCATCGTAAATAACCAGTAACTCCATATTATATCTACTATATGTTTGTTAAATTTCTACCAAGAAGTTGGCTACATTTTTATAGATTATAATTTATTGTCTATGATGTCTTGTTCAAGTATTTAGACTTGCAATATAACTTGCAAGTATTTTTAATAATGATATGGAAGATAAGAGAGTATATACCTTTAATTTTTTTTAATATAAATTTTACAATATAACACAAATAATTCCTTAGGTTACTTCTTTACTGTAAAGAAGCATTCAAAGTATTTACAATTGACGTACTGGCAACTGTAGCATTTAAAAATAAAAGCGACCAAAGACAACATTCGTGTGCTTTTCGTCGAGTCTGCCATGTTATGTCCTACTTGTCGCGCTTGATCAACGCGTTCACGATTTCTGTTGTAAACTATTATTTTACTGAATGTATCACGGGCTGTGTATTGTTTACAAATAGTGTAGTTAATGACTTTATAATTACGCGAATGAAACGTGTTATCAATCAATTACTTTTGATACTTGTGTATAATGGAGTAGTTCGCATTTCATCAAAATTTTAAATTGTTCACAAGCTTGCTATTGCACTTACGTCGTGAACACGGATATTGTCACGACTGTAATGTAATTATATTATAAATATTAAAGTGATAGTAAGTACTTCGATCCTGTGATTCAACCCACGTGCACATAATTTAACAAGCATCTCATGCACATTTGTTATTATTTTGTTCGCGACTCACGAGTTCGATTCGAGCCTGTTGGGATCGGATCGAAGAAGGGAAATCGTGTTCTCCGTCTTGCTCCCTCCCGTCGCGTTTCGTTCGGTTGCATTCATTCATTTTCATAAGCCGAAATAGATTTTTTTGTCAAGTGTAATTGTTTTGGTGTATGAGGATCCGAGCCCTGAGGAGCGGAGGCTAGTGTTGGTGTGTCCCGTGTAGTTGGTAGGGTCCGCGGGCGGGCGCACGCTACACCGCCATAGTCCGCTGCAGTGCGGGCGGCCGGGTGAATCACCGCGCGTTGTCGTGTGCCGTGTTGCCGTGTTGATCGTGCTTGTTTACTCGCGAGTGCAAGTGCGTGGAGCGGAAGTGCAAAGGCATGTGCGGCGCGGTTTGGCGCCGATGACACCGCCGTCCTAGGCGACGGCGTTTTGAGCCAGTGTACGTGTGTTAATTATGCCTCTTGGGTTATGAGTGTGTGACAAAGTTGTAGTGTATTGAGGACACTGGAGCCCCTAGACGGAGTTGGGCCCGCTGGGGCGGCCCTGGTGCTTCTCGGGGCTCCGCACGAAGGCAAAATGGCAGCTTGGAACCGCCACCATCATTTTAACATGATCATGGATGAGAATGCCAAAAACAAATGTAAGTATTGTTTAATGTTTCATAGCTTTATAAAAAAATATATGTTACATGTATTGGTTTAAGAATATTAAATTAAAACTTTTGTATATTTTCATTTATGTTATGTTAATTACAAACAAACAAATATTTACTAATGAAAAAAAAACTTAAAATGTTTGCTTTTTTTATATAAATTCTGAATTAAAACATTTTATCCTTATTATTATTGTTACCTTATATTTAGATACTTTTGGATCTTATGCATATTTCATTCGTCATAGTTTTTGAAAAAAACCTATGAGTAAACAAACATGACAACTCAATTTAAATTTGTTATATTATATAGTTTAAATATTTTATTCATTAAGATACTTTGAGACTTTGATTCTTGTGACCACTGTTTTCTTAGTCGATTATGTGATAGTGTTTTTTGCTTCAACTGCATAATTTAGCAATAGTTATACCTAATAGATTAATTTTATAAGTACCGATATAACTAGTAATTAATAATAGCAAATATTTTTTACCCAAAACTACCTCTATTGGATAGGTAATCATAAAGGTGAAGCCAGTGTATATAACATATGCAACTTATTATGATTTGTAAAGCGATATGAAAATATGAATTATTTGTGACAAACAGACATTTTCAATTGTTTATCAAGCATTATATATCGCAAGAGAATCATTTTTATCATGTAATACATGTGTGTTACAAGAATGTAAGTGATTATTTACTGATACTCTATTGAGCGATCCTTTTGATCGTCTGCCTTCACTCTACTGCACAGATTAAACTAGAGTTATTAGTAAGTTACATACACCAAGCTCGGTGAAGATAACATAATTTTCCATTTTCACATCATAGTAATATTAGCATAGACAGTTCCTGTACACATGCCCATTGTTGAATGCACACAACCCTCTCTGACCTACCTGTGGGCACTGTTCTATATACCTTTGACCTGATTTTAGGATGTTGTTACAATTAAATTGGCTACTTTGCTCGGGATAACATTGATTATTGTAAGAGTATGTCCAGGATATCATTGATTATTGTAAGAGTATGTCCAGACTTAAAGTTAAAGATATTTGAACCAGTAAATATTGTCTTGAAACTCTTTATTGCATGTGGTAATTTAGTTACGTTTTTTATACCGCCAAATCCATCGTAATACCTACAATACAAGGAAAATTTTCTTTAGGGTAACTAAGTTGTGATTTCGTATGTGCGCCATTGACGTATGAAAGCCGTCACCCAAGTTCCGCTGGTGAAACGTAAAGATTTTGATGATATAACATGAGGTTTATTTTGTGTTAAATTGATCGCTTCATGTAGCCTCGACCCCAAAACTGCTTAACGCTCGTCGACCTCCCCAACCTTTAACCTAATTCTACGTTCAACCCTCGCAGATGGTTGCTTGCATTGATGCTTTTATTAGATAACAACTTTAATACTCCGAAGTAAGGCTAACAATATCGAATCGAAATACAATTACATATATTCACCACGGATACGGTACCCTTGGTAAATAACTTAATATTTGTTGATTATATACGATACGGGCTGTGGGGGTCCATATCCGACGTTACGTTGAGCATTATTTGAAATTAACTCTGAATAATATATAATACGAACGGTAATATATCTCAACATTTATTGCTAATATATTATTTTCCATAGGTACCTTGTCGTAAAAATATTGTGCCAGTGACACAAAGCTGTATTTTTTTTACTATTGTATCATATTATGAGTTAATCCGCGTTTTAATTTGATGCTAAGTCGGAATTTGCACCTCCCACGCTCTTGGCGGCACTCCATTCAAGATAGTTATGCCGGATCTACCTAAATAAAACAAAGATAATGCTCCCGAAACCCAGTTTCTCGGTAACTGACCGGTTACAACGATTTCGATCACGGATTTCGGAATAGAATGAGATAACTATGTCGGAAACAATTAAGGTTCGGTGACAATGAATGATGCTTTTGGGTAAAAATTACTTAAAGGCAATGTTTATTGCTTAAATCGTACCATCAAATGCTGCTTATACAGTGATATATTTTTGCTTATTCTTTGTAATCATTTTTAGGTCACGTTATTTTCCACCAATCGTTATTCATTATAATTCACTGAAAAAATTAGAGAAACCCATCCTTGAAAAAGTATAGGTGCGAAATATAAATACGCAATATTTAATAATTATCATGTATGTTTGTATAAATTTTGTTTCGTATATGTATATTCTAAAAATCAGTTCCATTGCGTCCGATTTACATATAAATATTTAAAGTTAATTCTATGTCCCTTGTTTGTTTAGAAAACCCTTTCAATCCACAAATATTTAATATTAACTTATTCACAATTTACATTAAAATAAGAACTTCTATGGTTTTTACTCTTAATATAAAATTCAGAATTATAAAGGTCTCTTAGATCGATAATCCTAAGTTAAACAATTGTAAAAAGTGAGTTTGGACCCTCGGTATTCCGACTGGCAGTTCACCGGTTTTCCTTCCAAAACAATCCCTACTAATATTATAAATGCGAAAGTAACTCTGTCTGTCTGTCTGTCTGTCTGTCTGTCTGCTACGCTTTCACGCCTAAACCACTGAACTGATTTTAATGAAATTCGGTACAGAGATAGAGTTGACCTTGAGAAAGAACATAGGATAGTTTTTATCCCAGACTTTTGAAAGGTTCTCTTGGAAACGCGATATAACCGAACTCCACGCGGCGAAGCTGCGGGCGGAAAGCTAGTTTTTTATAATTTTGAACAGATGTTTTCTTAAATTAAAGAAAATAATTTAAATCAACTAAGTTTTATCTTATTACGGAGTAAATAGAGTCAAAGTATATTTTCACTAAACAAAGTAATTACTAATAAGTTTAGTTTCATATCAACTATCTAAATATTTTTGTTATTATTGCAATCTGTTGAATTAAGAATTATGTGTTTGTACATACTTAACTACTATCTATTTAATAGTAATATTTCTTAAGATTTAATTAGTAATGTACGTCATTAATAAATTAATGTAAAATATTTTGATATAGACTAATGTACATCAATTTATATGTTTAATATTCGCAGTCATTAAACTTGATGGTTGTAAAAATAATTGGATATCGAATAATTTGTTTCCATGTCGGGATAAGACTACCAAATATTTCCGATGGTCCCTGGAGCCGTTCACACCCGCGACCGACTTTCATTCACCATCTGAAAGTTGTTGCTATGCGGATGTCGGCGTTGCGCTGCTATTAAACCAAAACGCTCGTGCACCGGCCGTCATGTAGATGATATCGTGTTTCGAAAGTAACCTGCTATAGTTTACTTGTTTTAACGTTTTCTCATTTCCATTGGCCCCTTTATTTGTCTCCTTGTAAGCTCAAGATGTCTAGACTCTAGAGTACGTTAAAGAATGCCTATTCCTTCTTATCTCATTTTATTGTGATGTAAATGATGCTACTGTTTCAGTAGATGTTCATGGCTGCACTGATAACTGATAACGTATATAGTTTCGTAATTTGTTATGTGACATACCTAATTCTAATAATATTTAATCCGTCGAAGACTCAAAATATGTATTCTGCTTTGTCTATTTGTTTCGCATGTCTCATAACAGTAGAATACCGTGGTCCCTACGGATATATTCTTGCTGCACATGAGTGGAGCTGAATGTTTAACGGTAACCATTTAAGTGGGTATATCTCAGAGCTCAAGCGATGTAGTCAGGCGGTCTCCGCGGTGAATGGTCACCTTTCTCCGACACACAGTCTAGACGATTCGGCTTTAAACTGTGAATGAAATTTCACATTGGAATGCGGAACAAATTTATTGGGATGTGTGAATCTGCCTTTTTGTATTTCATTTAGCGATTCTTTTACTTTCTTTACATCAGCAAGACTGGTCCGGCTGTTATATATAATTTTCGTATTTCCAATAAGACCTTTGTTGTCTTTGTAAAACTAATAAGAAATCCTAATATTACCAACTAGTAACACGTTGTGAAACAGATCTATTTGACTCGATAATTAGTAATTACGGAAGGGTATCTTGTTTAGAATATTGTTAATGATATTATTAGCAAAGCTCAATAACAATTAGAGATGAGCTCACGTTGACTGACCCAGACCACCCGAATATTGTGCAGGTATTTGAGATTTTCAATGCGAATCGTAAAGATTTCTCTACCACTGTCGACGTTCCACTCGCATTCGACCCATTATATTTTGCGGCCACGATTTCATTGCTCACCGACAACCATTTGCATTTTAATTAGATTTAGTCTCTGGTACATATCATACGGCTTGTCGTTTCCGTCACCGCTTTATTTTAGGCGACGAAATTACAAATGCTATTGACGATTCATAACAACTTGACGAACATTACGTGTAGAGAGATCATTAAAAAAAACATTAATTCGCTACTAGTTCTTGGTATTTGAAATCTAATTGTCGTTGTAATATAGAGGTGAAATCATAAAATACCTCCTATTTTATAACTTTTATTTTATATACGAATTAGCAAGATTGATGGCTAGGTTACTTCAATTCATTAATTTTGGTTCAAATATAATATAGTTCCGTACTTTGTATTATAGCACTGTCGAAAATAAATACTTCATTAAGTATTATTATTAGGTTCGCTGTTGGCGGAGTGTGACGAGTCAGCCCTAAAGTGCCCCTCGGTGTCAACGACCGGCCGCGAAGGTTTTTGCGCGGCGAACGGTTGTTTATTTTAATTCATAATTGAATGAATATAGAAAGTTAAAATTGACGTTGTATGTGACACGATCACATCCATCCTTATCTTAACGGTTTAAAGGTATAAAATCGTTATGCACTGATCTCGTTCTGATCAAGTAACCTTTATAGCAATACATTGTGACATTTATTTGCGACCGTCAAATTGGAAGTGGTCGTTGCCCTATTGATATCGACGACATTTGTATGGCTAATGTATACCTGCTGCGTAATAACAGCCGTTTAATATCCAGATAATGGTCAACTCGGAG